GCCCAGCCACTGCTCCTCCATTAACCAGAATCCTCACAATTCCAGTATAGCCTAACGTCGTCGCGATCTCCAGTGCCGTCTTTCCCTTCCCCGTCTTTAACTCCACATCCGCTCCTCGCTTAACGAGAACCTCAACCGCTTCTACCTGTCCCGCCTCCGCTGCGCAGTGCAGAGCCGTATACCCTGCTTCGTCCCTCGCATCCAAGCTCGCTCCTTTTTCAATCAGAACTTTCATTATTTCAACCCTGCCTTTGAATCCGGCGCGCATCAACGCAGTCCACCCAAACCCATCCTTTCCATCCACTGCCGCCCCCATCTCGATCGCCCTCACAACTGCCCTGACATCCCCGCTCCTAGCCGCCGTGGCGAGACCCTCGCCGGCTTTAAGAAGATCAAAGAGCCGCCTTTGGCCTTCCTCCGCCGCAACATCGAACGCAGTCTTCCCGGCGCCATTCCTGGCTTCCCTCAATCCAGCACAGCCGCTCGATATCAGCAGCCGAGTCGTTGCCTCGTCCCCCGCCGCCGCAGCGAGGTGCAGAGGAGTCTCATTCGCCGGTCCTCCTAAGACGTCGGCACGTGTGCCGGCGGAAAGCAGTAGCTCCGCGCATTCCCGGCGCTGCAACGCTGCTGCCAGATGCAGCGACGTACGTCCGTCAGCAGTGGCAGCATCAGGCGCCGCGCCTTTTAGGAGTAGAAGCCGGAGAAGCTCGGTATGTCCCCCGGCCGCCGCGAGGTGAATTGGACCCATGGGAGATCCAATTGATCGCTCCGTGGATGCCCCACGAGCAAGGAGTAATTCCGCAATCAAAGTCTCCCCTGCAGCCGCCGCCGTTTCTAGCGGCGACTGCCCTGTTCTGCTTCTCGCCTCCACGTCTGCTCCGAATTCGAGAATGAGCTGCACGAGATCCGCGCGGCTGCTTGCAATTGCGAGGTGGAGGAGACTCTGGCCGTTCGTATCAGAAGAATTAGCAGATCCCCAAGCCGGGTCGCTCCTCTCCAACACCTCGCGAACCTTTTCCATCTCTCCTGAATCCACGAGTCGAGCTAATACAGCCGAGCCGACGTAGTAGACACGAAGGGCGGAATCAGAGAAAACTTGTTTTTTCTTCGCGGTGAACCAGTCGGCTGGCACGGCGTCCAGCGCAGTGGCAGAAACGCCGTCTTTGAAAACAGCGCCGGGGGAGACAACGGAGTCGAGGAAGAAGGTGTCATCGGATTCCGGCGCGGAGTCTGGGACAAATGGGGCCGGTGCTAGCGGAGGTAGGTAGGTGATTTCCACGGTGAGGGTGGCGAGGGGAGCGATGATACCAGTTTGAGGACGGATAGAGAACCTGTTTCGGTTAAGTGGAAGGAGGCGGAAGGCCACCGGCATGGTGTACATGACGTTTCTAAGGGTGAGCATGCCGGAGCAGCGTTGGCCGGTTTCGACACGGATGGCGACCTCGTTCGTCGGTTCGATTTTTATTAGCCTGTCCATTGATCTCTGCAACTGGTTTCAGTCTCTGCTCAAGGAGGATTGAGAGAGAGATAGAGTGAGAAGTGAGAAGTGACGAGAGACTGAGTTCTCCTACACTTCTCCCCAAAGATTCGAACTTGTGGTGGAGTTGTACTTAAAGGCGAGGTTTTGGGAAGAAGGAAGATGAAAGGAGAAGAAGTAAGGGAGAAGAAATGGGGGGAGGGGGGCGGTGGAAGCAATGTGGTATTTTTAGAGTTGGGGCAAGTGGGAAGGCCGGCGAAGGAGGGGAGAAGGTGACAGGTGGAGAGTTGCATGCATGACTGCTTCCTCTCAAGGTATGGTTCGGCGCAATTTCTCTCTGAGGGGTTTATTTTCTTTTTGTTTATTTATTTATTTTTAATGAAGGGATGGGGAAATTGGACTGTTTTATGTTTTCAATTTATAAAGTTCTATTCAGAATTTCTTTTTTGTTTTCAATTGGATGGGGTTGGATTCATTTGTATTATATTTTAGAGGGATTTAACAACTTAGTATTACAAAAAAATTTAATTTACATATTAAAACAATTTATTTACTCATCCAACAACTAACAATTTTAAACACAACAAAACTAACCCAAAGCTACCGCCAACAGCTCCTCATCTATCTGCTCTCCTTCTCCAACTGCTTCGTCTTCCACGCGCTCTTCAGTTATGAAACTAAATTACAGTAATCATCTTTCATGGCGGCAGCTGTTCAATGCGCCATTTAAAGGAAAAAAATATTGTTTAAAGGAAAAAAAATATTATTCCGGACGTACGTCCGCACGTTTGGATTGTCAACCGTCGGGCGTTACATCGTCCGCCACCGCCGTGGCGCCCACCTATTGGTCGTCCAGACGTGCAAATACATTCAAATTCATATAAAATATTGTTGTATATTGTTGTATAATATGTGTACATGAATATGAACTCCAATAATTTTTAGTAAATTAAAAAGTTATGATGTTAATTAAGTAAATAAATTATTTTAGGTGTTAAACATGTAATTTATAATGTTTAGAGTGGCAAGTTTGCAAAACCCCAGTATTTTAGTACCTAAAATATATGTATTTTTTCATATGATTATTATATTTGAATATAAAATGCATTTCCACTTTTAAATTTGAACTTGATCCATTTCGATGTTATATCTACAGGATTTTCCGAGTTCAATGAGATGACTAATTGTGATGGATTTTTTTTTTCTCAAAATATTTTTTATATACATTTTTATCAAAATAATTCTAAAAATTATTAAATATTGTTGGACCTGAAATTAAACTCAAATCACACCCAAGGAATAGTGCGTGAAAATAAAATAAAATATTATAGAATCTCTATAGGGAAATTATTCCTCTAGTGAATTTTTGCATCAGGACATCTGATCCAAATTTGCATCAGGTGTCCAACAATAGGGAGCCACGTGGCAATTTGAGCCCATTGATATACACGGTTTGAGCCCGGGTTATCACGTGACAGTCTGTCATTGAACTCCTGATGCAAATTTGCATCATGTGTCCTGATCCAATAATTTTTCCTCTATAGGAAGAAGAAGTGTATATTTTAATTCCTCTATTTATAGTAATCAAGGTTTTGAGAAAATTAAGGTTTTTGATTCCATCTTGCCCTAAACTCCAAGGCTTGGGCCCTCTTTGTTTTAGGGAAAGTCAACTTCTGATTCGAGCATTGAGATGTCGGGGTTGAATCATTCGACTCTAGGTATAGCCGCCCAACACTCGGCTTCAGATACCAGATCATCCATGTCATTGAATTTTTGCTTTTGCTAGTCGGGCTTTGCACCTTTTCTCGAGGTTGTTTGGCACTCGGCCTCGAGGATCTGGCTTGGATCACTTAACCTCACCCACTCTGCTATGGTCACCCGGCTTCAGGCACCCGGCAAGGATCCGCTTCTAATTGACAATTTGTGCCGGGTGATGAGTTCCGAATGCTTGAATTTACAACAGTCTTGATCTTCAGATTCACAACAATTTGAGCAATATGGATCACCGATTAGTGATGACTTGGACATTCACTTTATGATTATACAAATATATTTTGACATGAACGGAATATAAATTTTTTTAAATAATAATAATCTATCAATAAAAAATTGTATGAGATTGTTCAATTATAAATTATACTGTGGCAATTTTAGAACATTTTTGAAAATGTCTAAAGCTTACTAAAGCAAAATTTGAGAGTTAATTCAATCTACTAAAATGTGACTGAAAATATTGTATTTCATTTTGAAATTTTATTAAATATTTTTTTTTTTTTTTGGAAATTTGCATACATACTACACAATTCTTATGCTTTTACGCATCATATACAAATACAAGTATTTTTAACAGTTTTAACATTTAACATAAAAGGTAATTAAACTATCAAAATTTTCTTAACCATAACAATAGAATTAAGATATAATTCAAAACTAAATTCAAAATATTTGTAAAGTGCTTTCGGACAGCCAGAACATGGGGAAAGTTTTGCGTACATAACAAGTATGCAGGCTGCGTACATTTGGGTTATATGGAGGTTATATCTGTGTTATACACATGTTACCACCATATAACTTTCCCGTAACCTCCCTATAACCCCCAAATGTACGCAACCTTGCATACTTGTTACGTACTCAAAATTTTCCCCGGAACATGGGGATAGTTTTGTTATATTTAAGGAGGCGTCATCTAGCCTGTGATGATAGTTGCATGTTTATTGGGATATTTACACACATATCACTAAATTTGTGGGATATGTCGCCGACTCAGCGGCACTGACCTATTTTATATATTGCGGCAAACTTTTACTTTCTATTGCATGATTGCATGATTGCTTGCTTGAATTATTTTCTTTATTTTTTTCTAGGTTATTTAAGATGCTACAAAAAAAATATAATTTAGTCTCTTTAGGACCTAAGTTTATAAAATTTTTATATAAAAATTCTAATAATAAAATATTGAGACAATCAAAATTTTAGGATTAAAAGATTCAGGAATTTTAAAACCTACTTTTACTTTCGTGCATGATATTCAGGCAGTTTTTGAAATGAGTTACATGCATGGTCATATTCTAAGTCATATTAATAGGGTCACCATATTAGGACTTGAATAGATAATTGCATCATTATGCATGTCGGGAGGAAAATTCTTCATGTTTCTTCAACCCGACTGACCCAACATAGATTTCTACGTAGGTGGTTGTCTAGTGCGCTTAAGATTTTAGTGGCCTCCCCGACCCAACCGAGGTGTAAGTCGTTTGTTGGGAGTGTTTCCAGCTATGTAACTGAACCTCCCTCTCTATTACTTTCTAGCAGCATCATTGTCATATCGGTGGATATAAGTCCACCTCTTGGAGCTCCACATGGTAGTCATAGTATTCAGTTTTGTTCTCAAATTGGTGCCTGGAAATCTCTCGAGATGTTAGGTCGACTACTTTTACGACCAAGTAAACATAAGGTTCTAGTGGCTTGGGTTGATGGGTCTGTAGTGCCCCAACCTAGCTACCTCTACCTCTTAAAGATTACTCCCCCTTCTTTCGACTACTCACTTTGAGCCCTGACGCTTCTTTTGTCTTCTTTGGTATCATCTCGACTGTCCGATTGTTGATGAGTTGCCGCCCGTTTGGGCAATGATGATTTGTTCTCTGTCCTAGATGTGCTTTGACGTATTGGGATTCCCAGTCAGGAAGATTCGATTATTCTGCAAGCTGCATATGCCGATGAGTCTATTATCAATGTGGAACCGTGAGAGACTCACTCTCTGTCCCGTGACTTAAATAGAGCTTTGAAAGTATCAGAGAATTCCCATGCGAAATAATTGTCCTTTGATAGCCCTGTGCTAGTTGTCACCTCTAATGTAAGCAAAACTCCTTTGGATCGAGTGTATCTTTGGGTAGCCACCAAGATGTAATTATAAGTGGGGTACTTCCTGTTGGGAGCACTCTAGACCGCAGAACAAGCAAACACACCCGAGTCTCTAGTTGTAGATAGTCCACATAGATATTCTTTCACGAATATTGATCCAAGATGCTTCTGCCCGATCTTGTTTGGGAGGACATGTTTGACCTATCCTTACTAAGTGTATCATATGCAGCTCTCCAAGTTTTCTTTCTCTTGTTTTTTTTTCGTTGTCGTATGTCCTGCTTTTTCGGTTACTCTCTTTATCTCGTCATTTACACGATCTAGAAGAGACTTATTTAAAAAAGAAAGTATACAATAATTGACAACTGATGACTCTTTAAATAAAAAAGGGAGGATGGAATGAAATTAACAGTAAACCATAGCTTCCCCTATTAGAAACTTTTTGTCCCTTTCTTCATGGGATCAACATATGAACTCGTTTTCGTAAAATTTTTGATCGAAACGTATAATTAAGTGTTTGACATACTTGCTTTATAGCAATTTTAGCATTAAGAAAAAAACAGAAGTACTCCTTGCCGCTCTAGTTGGGCAGATGCTTCGTTAGACATATTTGTCGATTTACTCTCCAAAAGAATGACATCTACAAAGGGCAAGAGGTTGACTCATTGATCATCTTCCTATTGGAAGCATTTCCTCATAATGAGATTAGGTTTCTTCGTTCCTTTCTCTAAGCGACTATTATAAAAAAAGAAATATGATGAATATACAAGTCATTAATAAAAATAGTAGATTTCTTTGTTCGCCCACAATACCACAATATGATCTGGGGACGCCCAATCACGATCCAAGATTAGGCCAAATATCTATGTGGCAAATAATTTTCCCAAGTTGGCGAGAATGACATATCTAGTCACATCAAGCATCACATATTTCATCATATCACAATGCACATGTTCTACAGTAGATAGTTTCACCTTCTTCTTTAAAATAAGGGGACTCAGCCTCCTTTGATCGACCATTCTTTTGTTGATGATACAAAACATAACTTCTTCTTCTAGTCCTTAACTTTATTCTCAAGACCCTGAAGCTGAATATCAATCCCAAAAAATTAGCACAAATCCACTCTTGCAAGTCCTGAAGGTAAATAAGAAGCCTAAAGGTAAATGAGGGAACTCGACCTCATATTGATCGGCCAATAGTTTGTCGATGATTCGAAACATAACTTCTTATATTTCCTTACTTTGTTCTCAAGGCCTTGAAATTGAACATCTGCCCCAAAAAAAAACTCACAAATCCTCTCTTGTAGGTCCTAAGGGTAAATAGTCCTAGAAAAAAAGATCAACCAACCATAAAATTTTGACTTGCCTAAGAAAAAATGATCAAGTTTATAATCTCATCAAAGGAATTCAGCATCACTTGAACTGGAATGATAAAAGATAAGTTGAAAATTTCTACCAACTCCAGACATAATGACGTCAGAGTTTCTTGTCA